TTAAACATTTATCCATATTTATACATATTACAAATATCATACATCAATATATCTAATTAAACATTTATACATATTATAAATATCATACATCAACATATCTAATTAAATATTTAAAATTAATTTCATTTAATAAACTATTGATTGACTCAACTTTAAAGAATACTAAAGAAAAGATTTTAATAGAGATTTAGTTCTATGAACACAATTTTGAATTTTAGCTAAAGCATTGGTCACACTTATTTAGAACCACATTTTAACATCAAAATAAAACGAATTTAAAAATAAAATTATGTGCGACCATAACTAAGTTGCCGAAATATATTTTTCTACTTTTTTCATATCAGGCTGTTTGGACAAGTCCCATTCAATAATCAATACTTTGTCCCATTCAATAGGCTTCCCACTATATCCACAAATGACAAGACAGGTTAAAAACAGTAATACCTAAACAAAAATACTTTACAAATTTAAAAAGTAGAGACATTTGGGTGTTGAAAATTGGAGTTTCATTTTCCTTAACTTTCCCAGCAAGCACAACCATACAGGACCCAAACGGGAACCATCCGGGATGTCAAACGGGAACCGTGCGGGATTTGGCCGCGGGATTTACATGGGAATTATACGGGCTAAATAAAAAAAAAAGAAAATTGATCGCCTGCTTTTTCATTTCTCCCGCATTGATCCCAGATTTTCCCCGAATGTATTTTGTATTATTTATAACTGTGATTTTTATACTTTTATTTAACGATTACTCGTTTAAAGCAATTTTTTCATTAAATTTTTTATTTTCTTTGAAAGCAAAACGTTTTAGCACGTTTATATACAAATTGAAAACACAAGCACATGTGCATGTATGTTTTATTAAATAAAATAAACTATTATTAAATATGTAATCAATATATATATATATATATATATGTGTGTGTGTTCGTTGCTGCATTCGATATATATACAATGTACATTAAACATTCTATATGTTGTTTTCCGTGTTTGCTGCATTTGAATTTCTCTCTTTTCGGCTGTCTTTACCTCTATCTCGAGCATTACCAAACCAAGCGGAAAGTGCTTCTTCAAGAAGCTTTTTTGATAAATTTTGTTTTGTTTCATAGTTTCTTTTTGCTGCACCTAAACATACAACATAAGTTGAAATAAATTTCATTAGCTTCTAAATCAATACATACTTTTATATTTTTGTGGCCACCTTAAACCATACTTTTCATTAATCTTATTAATTTTCATTTTTTTAGACGCTTAAATTCCTAAATATTTGCAAATATTGAAGTTATAAAAAAAATCATCAATGACACAAGATAAGAGCCATCCATAAAAAACCTTTTTTAGGCATTTTTTGACCCTCCCCCCTTGGTCACTGGTTGTACTTTTTTCCTGTACCCCTACGCTTGAAAAGGACGTCACAAAATCGATACCGCCCCCATTATTTTAACCGGAAAAAAAATTATTTGATCTTACAATGATGCTTGACACTTGTCCTACACCTTTGAAAAACAAAATTAAAAATATTATTTTAAATTATCTTTATAAAAACACATATTTACATTTTTTCATGTTTATGTTACAGTTTTTCATGTTTATAAAATTGAAATAAAAAATCTATAAAGTGATGTCCTTTTCTGACAACCTCCCTCCTCCGCCTTTGTGTCTTTTTAATCTTGACCCCTACCACCCTACTTAGATGGCGTTCTTTATGGATGGTCCCCTAGGGTAAAAGTACTAATAATTTTTTTGCTATGAAAATAAAGAAATCAATACCATTAAGAATTGCAATCCCACACTGCGAGATCTTGCATTATTTGAACACAGGGAAACACTAGATCTACGCCACAGATTTCTGCTGGATCACCGCCAGTCACTGGTAAAATAAAAATGAATAACAATGCATTTATTCTTAATCTCTGCTCAATTGTCAACAGTATGTGGCTTATGTAATTTATGTAATATAATTTATATATGTCCACAATTTATACAATTTACAAACTATCAGAGATTAAAAATGCATGCACTGTATTCTACTTATATTTCCCACCATATTGGCACGGATCCATAATTAATTTGTGGCGAGGAGCCATCAGTACTCTGAGCGGGACCTCGCATGCGCTGAAATAATGCAAGATCTCGAGGGCACGATTGCAATTCCTACCATTAATTCAAAAAAAAAAATAAAGAAAGTATAATATATATCATATTATGATATGATTTATATATATATATATATATATATATATATATATATATATATATATATATATATATATATATATATATATATATACATATATATATATATATATATATATATATATATATATATATATATATATATATATATATATATATATATATATTACTTACAAAACATTATTTGAAATAGCTGCAATGGCTGAAATGGTTTTTTATTTCTCTGACCAGTTAGGTTATATTTTCGTGCCAGTTCATTAGAAAATAAAAATTTCATATTCCTTCTTACAAAATTTGTTATATTCATATCACCATTATTTACAAGGACCTGAACCTGGTGAAAAAAAAAAAAAGTAAATTCAAAACTAGTTATTTTTTTATTATTTAGGGCAAATAGGGCAAAGTGACCTAACAATGGCCGGGTCTTGCATCCAATGACTGAGGAAAAACTTGCAAAGTATTCTATGCATCGATGGAGGGTTGTGGCAGGGTTAAGGTTAGAGTTATAATAAAATAAATAAATAATCAATAAATAATAAAGTTTCAATATATATATTTTTTATTAATTAAATAAAAATATGAAGTATTGTATAATAAAATTCAATAAAAATAATAAAAATCACTTCAAAAAGGATAATATATATCAAAATATTTAATTTAAAAATGTACATATAAAAAAAAAAAAAAAAAAAAAGACATAATATAAACCTATACTTTATTTGGTATATATTCAATGCAGGAAAAACCTATAAATAATATAAATAATAAGTTTACCAATTTTTTTTTCACATCTTCATCTTTCAACCTATCTTCAAAAGCTTCGACATCTTCAGTTGTTTTAAGTGGTAAGTTTAATTCAATTTCATCCTCTGTAATGCCATGCGTTGAATTAATTTGTTGCTGAATGCTGTGCAACATAGCTGAATGCAACTTTTGCTTCTCTCTTATTTCTTCTTGAGCTGCCAAAATTTTCAACAACAATTTTTCTGCTTATAATGAAAAAATCAAGCAATTATTAAAAGCCAATATAAAAAAAATAATAATAATTCAAACAAAGTGGTATTCGATACTAGGGTGGAGCAATTTTCACAGCAAAAAAAAGAGTTTAAAAATAAACATTCCTGAGACGCCAATCGATCTTTATTAATTATAAGAAAAAAGTAAACAAATACTTTCCAATTATGACAAGATTTTAAGGTTCCTCCTTGGATTCTAAATTCTCGGAATTCGGGTCCTAATATTTTTGATTTTTTTTTCTATAAACCATAACTTTGTACTCAAAATAAAAAGAAAAATGATTGTGTTATAAATAATTATTTGGTTTAAAAAAAAAGAGTTCATAAAATATTTCCAAAATATACTTTAAAACCCCCGTTTCGTTGAAGACGTTTTTTTTTTTGAAAAAGACAACACTATTTTTTATTCCTTTAGTTTTAAATTAAAAAAAATGTTATTGTGTATACATTTATATGTATATAATATTGTATATATATTCAAAACCAGCAATTTCTTTTGAGTACTAAGTTGATATAGTTTAGAAGAAAAAAAGAGGAATCTCAAAGTAAATTAACAAAGTAAAATAACAAAAATTTGCAGCAGTGTACCGCAGTGGTTAGCGCGCTTGTCTCAGAGTTTAGAGATCCCAGGTTCGAAACCCACCTCTGGACAAGTTTTTTTACATCAGTTATAAAGGAGGCGTGAACTTTCTATTAAATGCTCTTCTCCGCTGTGCTCTGTGATAAGACCGTAAAGGACTTCTTAGGGCACCTAAAGCAAATACTAAAAAAAATAAAAAGAACTAATTAAAATTACAAAAAAAGTAAGGTTCTTTTTTCATGAAAAGACATAGATTCTCAGCTCAGGCAAATCAAATTTCAAAAATTTTTAAAATCGCTTCACACTATTGGATACTATTTTGATTTACTTTTGATTGACATCATATTGTCATATACTTTTAAAAAATAAGTAGAAGGAAAAATGTTGGTGATGTATTTTGTTAATTTAGTATCTTACCAGATGTAGTGTAACCAAACGTTTTTAACAATGGAGTACTTGTGTTACCAGGAAGACCAGACATATCTTTTGACTTTACAACACTTTCTGACTGTAAATCAAAAGTTTTATTTTGTCTGTGCTAAACTTCCTTTTCTTAAAAAAAAATAATAAAGAACGATATTGAATGATAATATTAGTAGCAGTTTAAAATGTTACAACAATATAAACTTTACCTGACGATTCTGTGCGTACCACAGGAGTTAACAATCCACTGTTTTCAATCTCAAAATGACAAACCCCTAATAACCCAAAATCAATACTGTTATTTAATTTTTCATAGTCATTAGTATAGGTACAGTTTTTTTCTTATTTATATGATTAACAATGTTAATCATATCAATGATAATCAATGATTGAAATCAGTTTTCGATTTACAAATATGGTTTATAAATAGTTAAATTTAATTATATGTTAAACATATAATTAAATTTGACTATTTAAAAACCATATTTATAAATCAAAAACTGATTTCATTCATGCAATGATAAATTATTTTATTGACAATTATCAAATTAAACCACTAATTTAAGAAGTAAAATTTGTTTTTTACCCGACTGTCTCTCTGGTATTACAGGGTTAGGAAGCTTTTCAGATATCTTTTTTTTCTTTCTTTTATAAATAAAAAAAATAAAAAAATAATTATTTAATTTAAAATAAAATAGGAAAGAACAAACGACAGACAAAAACAAACAAATAAATTTTGTGAAAAAAAGAAAAAGAAAAAACTACATAAAAAACAAACAGAACACCTATTGCTGTATTTACTTTCTGAATCAGTACTTTCAATTAAATCTTCTTTGCTGTTTACAATAGGAATAATGTTTAAAAAATATATAGAGGTAAGTTAATATTAAATCAAATCTTTTAACAATAAAATTTAGAATAATAATTTAGTAAATCGAGCCATATAAAATAGCTTACACTTTTCTTTTTTGCTTAGTAAAGTTCTCTTCGACATTAGAGGTCTCTTCTGCAATTGTCACCTTTTCACAGGCTTCTTTCTCATTACCTACCATATAGATTCCAAAAATAATATTATTGAACTTAGCTTATATACAAATTGAATTGTAGTTACTATAATGTTGCATAAATTTCATTACTAAATCATATTTGTATTATAAACAGCAAAGTTTACCTGCAACTGCTAACAATCGAATAGAGTATGTTTTCCAATCTATTTCAGGTTCAGTGCACTGCTTTTGTGCTCTACTGACTTTGCCTGAATTTGGCCATGGAGGCCAGTAGCATTTTAATTCTATACGCTGCCTTACCAACATTGAAACTTCTTGAAGTTCAATTTTATTGATTATCCAATTGAAAGGAATGTATTCAGTTTTCATCTCGTTGTCAAAAACCACAATAGCATACATTCCAGTGATTATATAATAACTATAAAACTTATATAACTAAAATTAATTTTTAAATACTGTGAATTATATTTAAAAGTTAACATTCAAAGCAACTTAATAAACATTTATATATATATATATATATATATATATATATATATAAATATAATAAATACATATATATATATATATATATACATATATATATATTGGGTATATATATATATATATATATATATATATATTGGGTATATATATATATATATATATATATATATATATATATATATATATATATATATATATATATATATATATATATATATATATATATATTAAAAGAAAAAAATATTCAACAATGAGAGCAATGTAATAAACATTGCATATATATATATACACTTTATAACTAATATTACAAATTAGTGGTACTGATGTGATTAAACATCTAAAAATATAATAATATGAAAATTAAATATAAAAAAAAACAAATACAAAAATTTCAAAATGTTTCAATAGTGCAATTTTAAAAATTGCACTATTTTAGGATCTCTAAACTCTGAGACAAGCGCGCTAACCACTGCGCTACACTGCTGCAAATTTTTGTTATTTTACTTTGTTAAGTTACTTTGAGATTCCTCTTTTTTTCTTCTAAACTATATCAACTTGGTACTCAAAAGAAATTGCTGGTTTTGAATATATATACAATATTATATACATATAAATGTATACACAATAACATTTGTTTTTATTTAAAACTAAAGGAATAAAAAATAGTGTTGTCTTTTTCAAAAAAAAACTATGAAATAAATATAATTTTTTTTGTAAACAAAGAAATAATGAATTACTTTTAAAAGTTAACATTCAAAGCAACGTAATAAACATTGGGTATATATATATATATATATATATATATATATATATATATATATATATATATATATATATTGGGTATATATATACAGTACTGTGAATATGTTTTAGACCACTTACATTTTCTCAAAAAATCCAAGAGAATTCTTCCTTAATATTTAAGTTTCGAATTCTATATTATAAAATTATTAAAACACATATATTTCACACAAAATATGGAACAATAAAAAACTTTTTAATGTCACACTTCATAAAAAAACCCTTAATATTTACTATGTCCTCCTTTTGCCTTAATCAAAGCCAATATTTGCCGGGAAATATATTCATACAAATTTGTTATAAAATCCTGCGGTATGTTGTGCCATTCTCTTTGAAGTACTTGAAAACATTTTTCAGCCTTTCGGGGAGCATGTTCGACCTTTTTCCTGTCCAAGTAATCCCAAATATGCTCGATTATATTCAAATCTGGACTCTGGGGAGGCCAGGTCATCATTTCCAGTATTCCTTCTTCTGCCATTTCATTTAAATAATTTTTTGCCCTTCGGGAACAATGTTTTGGGTCTTTGTCCTGCTGCAGAATAAAATTATGGCCCATTAGTCTCATTCCGGATGGTATAGCATGCTGTCTTAGAATATCCACATAACGTTCCTCGGTGAGTCGTCCCTCTATTTTGATCAGATCACCTACCCCAGATGAAGATAAAACAGCCCCAAACTTGTAAAGAGCCTCCTTTGTGTTTAATAGTAGGGTTTAAACACTCGGGCTGATAGGCTTCTCCTATTCATATATTGACGTCAACATATTGACGTCTTTTCGTTCCAAAAATTTCAAATTTGAACTCATCAGTGTACAGAACCCGATTAAACATTTCCTGGTCCAATCTTTGTGTTGTTTTGCATATTTAAGTCGTTTTTCTCTATTGCCACGCCGTAATAAAGGTTTTACGAATAGCAACGCAGCCTCGTAATCCTGATTTGAGTAGGTGTCGTCGAATATAAGAAGAGCTAACATTTTTCCCAGTTGCTGTGTTAATGTCCTTTGCCAATTCGGTGGATGTTTTTTTCCTATTTCTTAAAGAAAGGGTTTTTAAATATTTATCGTCATCTTTTGTTAGCTTAGGAGGTCTGCCACTTTTCTTTCTATTTTCAAGGGAGCCAGTTTTTTCTAAACTTTTTAATGATTTCTCTAATAGCAGTCTTCGAATATCCTGTTTTGGAAGAAATTTGGCGCTGCGAATAACCTTCTTCGTGAAGCACAATAACTTTCTGTCTCTCTATTAAAGATATTGTACCCATAGCAACACTTAATTAATCTAAAAATGTAAACCAATAACTTTATTTAATTATTTTTAACTATTTGTTTAACTGTATTCATAAAAAATAACAACTTTTTAAAAAATGTACCAAAACCGATCATTATTGTATTAAATTCACTCTATGACTACATTTTATACTGTTAAAAACTTAAATGAACGAATATGAACCTGAACCAGTAAGAAAAAAATCGAAAATATTATTTTTATGTACTATTTAGATGAACGCTTGGTCTGCAGTTATAATGACAATTATCGTTTTAATAAATAAACAAACATATCCCTCATGTTCCTCATAAATTTTTGTTTATTTATTCAAGATAATATGTTCTTTCAACCTTTCTCAAATATTACTCAACTTAAGTAAGCTTAAAAAAAAAAAAAATACACAGGAAAATTGAAAATACAACTAATTATATAAGTGGTCTAAAACATATTCACAGTACTGTATATATATATATATATATATATATATATATATATATATATATATATATATATATATATATATATATATATATATATATATATATATATATTGGGTATATATATAAATATATATATTGGGTATATATATATATATATATATATATATATATATATATATATATATATATATATATATATATTGGGTATATATATATATATAGATATATATATATATATATTGGGTATATATATATATATATATATATATATATATATATATTGGGTATATATATATATATATATATATATATATATATATTGGGTATATATATATATATATATATATATATATATATATATATATTCAAAGAAAAAAATATTCAACATTGAGAGCAACGTAATAAGCATTGCATACATATATACACTTTATAACTAATATTACAAGTTAGTGGTACTGATGTGGTTAAACATCTAAAAATATGATAATATGAAAATTAAATATAAAAAAAAACAAATACAAAATTTTAAAATGTTTCAATAGTGCAATTGCGGCATTACAATAAATCCATTTTTATATGGTAAAAAAAGACATTTTTTCACTGTGTCACTTAGCGGCAAACACTCATATAAACCATCAGTTCTCTCAACCATATAAATATTTAACTTCTGAGAATCACATGGATCTTTAAAAAAAGATTCTTTGTAAGCAAACGCCTCAAAAAGAATATAAGCATTATCATTGGTGGCAGTTGGTTTTAAAATATTTCTAACAATTCCAATTTTACCACATATTTCGAAGCAATTATCTCCGACACTGTTAGACATAAAATACTTTTTGTTCTGATACTGTTTGAATTGAAGATAATGGCTCAGAGTAATATTTACAGGACCTTTAGTATGCAGCTTACTAAAACCAACAGAATGAATACGCTGACAGGTATAAAAATCTGCATTTTCAAAAATTCTTTTGGTAATATGTGAACAAGGTGACTGGGCCTTGCGAACAAGCTTTTTTAATTGACCAAGATAACTTTCATATTGATGGACGAACAATTATCAAGAGCACCATAGTGTTTTGCATCATCAGCTAAGTGTATTAATGAAAGAACATTGTATACTAGCTGATCTCTACCGTACAACTCTTCAAAAGTCTGCACAAAATATTGTAACAACTGACCAGCATACCCAGCATAATGTTTAAGTAAAGAAGAACACAACAAAATCCTTACAGCAACAGATAAGTCAATAAAATTTTGATAATGATTTGGTAACAGCAGTCCTTTTAAAACCACTGGCCTTGTATAAACCAAAAAAAGACGGAGCTCAGTAGCCTTCCATCGTCTAAATTCTGATAATGAACGAGACTTTCTAGAAAACTCTTTTGAAATATACAGTCTCAAAGCTGCCAGTTTTTCTGAAATTACTGCAATAATATTTTGAGTCAACCTACTTGAAGGTGGGCCATGAATCCATAAGTTTAAAATTCTTCTGACAACACCCAAACAAATGCAATGCATATAATCTATTGGAAAACCACTTACCATATTATAATTTAGCTTTGTAAAAGGAGATATTGCGTTATGGTGTTCTGAATCATGTTGATTTAAAAAGTCTATATTAGTCCTTAATGGAGCAGATAGGTCTGGTAAAACTATTTTTTGATACCACTTGCCAGGTTGAATACATCGTTCACAACAATTGTATCCATTATGTGTTTTAACGCACTTAACAAATGACCGAGCTGGTGCATCACAAATAACTGCTTCTAACTTTATTTTGTATGCTTTTTCAGTCTTGTCACATATAACACCAACTTCTTGAAAACGTTGCATTTCATCAATAAAATCTATTAAATAGTTATCTATAGAATTTGGTTTGCAAGAACTGGAAAATAAAGCAATTGGAAAGACACTCTGTTCAAATTCTAAAAAAGAACCTAGAATTGGCCAAAGTGATATATTTGAGTTATTAAACAGCGGAACACCATCAATATTGATATGTAAAGTAAAAACTGAAAGATCTGTTGAAAGAAGAGATTTTTTTAATAGTAAGGAAAGCCAAAATTGCAATCCAATGTAATAATACTCACCACCTGCAACATATTTGGTTTCAATTTTCCTCTGTGTGTAGAAGTGATCTAGAATCTTTAGGCAAATCTGATCCATTTTTTCTCAGAACCTGTAGTAAACTGTCTAATGCATTGTGAGATATTTTATAACTGACTGCCCATTTTCCTAGATCCTTGTTTAAACTTTTTTTGTTTGGGT